GCATCTATGTTTATCGGGGGTACTGGCCTGTCATTTTCTTTTTTGTGTGTTGTCTTTGTCTGGTTTTGGTACTAAAATCAGTCATGCTGGCCTCATCAAATACGTTTGGAAGCATTTCCTATTCTTCATTTTTTTGGGGGGGAAAGAATTCGGGAAGGAATATTTGTAGACTGCAGGGTCTTATCGTGTAGGACTCATACACCCATGCAAGCAAAACTCTTGAAATTTACATGTCACCAGCACAGTTGTTTTTGTGGTTTTTTTTTTTTATAGCACAATGTGTTGGCTTCATGGCCGCTATTTGCATCTTCCAACCATAAAAAAATTCCCTTTAAAATGTCGATAGAGAGAAATAACTTGACCGGAGTCGACAACCTCTAGTTCCTCGTGTCAGCATTCACGGTGTCCTGCCGCGACCTCCCTCATTGAAGGGGGAAGGAGGAAAGAGAACTGTGTTTCCCCTGGAACGATGACAGGAGAGTAAGAACCAAGAGAGAGGACCCACCATAGACTTGGCTTCTCCGACGGTCATTCTTTGGTTCAGGAGTGGCTTTGACCTTCGGTGGCTCAGACAGAATGAGAAAGTCAGCAGGGGGGCTCCTGGGGAGGGTTCCCCCACCCATGAACACACTCCTGGCCAGAGATGCTTCTAGGCCAGTGATGGCGAACCTTTTGAGCTCGGCGTGTCAGCATTTTGAAAAACCCTAACTTCACTCTGGTGCCGTGTCCCATAGAGAAATTTTTTGATCTTTGCAACCATAGTAAAACAAAGACGTATATTTTTGATATTTATTTTATATATTTAAATGCCATTTAACACAGAAAAATCAACCAAAAAAATGAGTTCGCGTGTCACCTCTGACACGCGTGTCATAGGTTCGCCATCACTGCTCTAGGGGCTCAGCTGTGACGGCAGGTCACGTGTGGAAGTCCGGCCGCTCATTTTGTGACCCTGCGTAGAGGTAGCCGAGGGCACGGCCAGCCCACTGGGGACAGCAGAGCAGGAGGATGAAGACTCCCGAGCCCTCAAGGAGGATGTGGGGTCAGTCTGTCCCCAAGAACACGTCTGTCTGCCTTGTCCTTGGGCCGACGTGGTGGAGTCCAGACCCTGAGGGCTGTCCGGTGCTTATAGATGTTTTGAAAAACCCTCCTAATGGATGGTTATACTTTCTTTTTATTTTTTAAAATTGATTTCAGAGAATAAGGGAGAGGGAGAGACAGATTGAGGACCTTTGTCATCATTGAACTAGAATTAGGAGACACACTTGACATATTTTAGCTTAAAAAAAAGTAGATTCTTAAATGCTTGTTTCCCCTGTCAGTGGATCTTAACCTCAGAGGACAAAGATTGAATCCACCGTAGCCACACCCGCAGTTGACTCTCTTTTTCTCTCGCAAGATCCACTTGACCCTCATCCTTATGGGGACAGATACCGGATTGAGGCCAAAAGAGGCAGCGTTTGCTTTTTGTCAGCCCTGCGCTCGCTTACCCGATCGTGGGGGGGCGGTGTTTGTGGGGTGCATGCCGGTAGACGTGTTACTGCCCCTTTCATTTTGCTGTTTGTTCATAATGGATGTTCCCTTTCCTCCTTTTTGGTAGCTTGGTTTTTAACGTCGTCCATGTGTTCTTTCCGTATAAAAATAAAATAGTCCAGATAACTAAGAGGATTTTGCAAACCCAAATTATTTTTCTCGGTTAAGGAAATTGGGTGTTTTGTAAAAACAAAACAAAACAAAAAACAACAACAACAAAACAAAAACCTGTAGAAAACAGGGGGAAACTAACGCTTGAAGAGTATTACCTTAAACCTTTACATCATCTGTGGGTGCTGGCCTGGAAGTGTGTGTGTGTGTGTGTGTGTGTGTGTGTGTGACCCAAAACACTGTGTGGTGGAAAGATCAGACCGTATGAACACTTCCAATCAATGCAGAAGTACAACTTTTAATTAACAGTATTGTTAAAAGCATCCCCCCAAAACGAATTTCATGTGTCTTATTTCTCCCTCCAATACTCTCTCCCTCCCTCTACCTTTTTCTCCCTCTCTCTCCTTCTCCCTTCCCCTCTCCCCCCCCTCTCTCTCTCGTTTTTTTTTTTAACTTCAGTGTGAATAGCACCTGTAATTAAGGCAGAAACAGGAGCCGAGGGAGCTAGGGAGGACTCCCATCTATTGATCTGTGTGAGCCCGGCTTCCCCTGTCAGGGGAGACACAGGCCACTGCTGGGCGGCTTTGTCACCGACAGAAGCCGAGGGGCTTTTTTTGTCTGGGCTGTTGATGCGCTGGGCTGGGGGCCTGCTGGCTGGTTGAATTTTAAAGAGCGCCGAGGTTTAAAGGCTTGTCCCCCGAGGCGCGCTTCTGCCAGTTGGGAAGCGAGCTGAGGCTGTGTTGCAGCAGGGCCTGCGTGTGTGTGCGTGTGTGCGTGTGCGTGTGTGTGTGCGTGTGTGTGTGTGTGTGTGTGTGTGTGTGTGTGTGTGAGAGAGAGAGAGTTGCTGGTGGAAGGAGGGGGGTGGATGTGAAAGATGAAACCTCTAAGGAGAGAACCTTAATTTGAGCCTTAAAATTGATGTGAAAAAAAATGGGATGTGAAATTGATTCCTAATTTTGGTATATTTAGAAGCAGACAATGAATTTTGTATCTGTCATCTATCTATCTATCTATCTATCTATCTATCTATCTATCCTCTATCTAATATCTATCTATCTATCTATCTATCCATCCTCTAGCTATCTATCCTCTATCTAATCTATCTTATCTATCTTATCTATCTATCTATCTATCTATCCTCTATCTAATCTATCTCATCTATCTATCTATCTATCTATCCTCTATCTAATCTATCTTACCTATCTTATCTATCTATCTATCTATCCTCTATCTAATCTCTTACCTATCATATCTATCTATCTATCTGTCTATCATCTATCTACTTTTCTATTTTTCTATCTATCCTCTATCTAATCTATCGTACCTGTTTTATCTATCTATCTATCTATCTATCTATCATCTATCTATTTTTCCATCTTCTATCTATCTATTTATCTATTATCTATCTATTTTTCTATCATCTATCTATCTATCATCTATTTTTCCATCTACTATCTATCTATCTATCTATCTATCATCTATCTATCTATCTATCTATCTATCTATCTATTTTTCTATCTACCGTCTATCTTTTTTATCTATCTATCTATCTTTTTCTATCTACCGTCTATCTTTTTTATCTATCTATCTATCTATCTATCTATCTATCATCTATCTATTTTTCTATCTATCTACCGTCTTTTTCTATCTATCCATCCGTCTATCTATCTATCATCTATCATTATCTATTATCTATCTATCTATCTATCTATCTATCTATCTATCTATCTATCATCTACCTACCTACCTACCTATCTTCCCAGAAACGATAGAGCCCTTTTGCAGGGAAGGGTCTCGATGGTGTTCCCGGGGCAGTCAGTGTGGTCAGTGGCTTCACGTTCACAGCACAAGCTAAGGATGCGCGCTGGCCCCTGAACTGCTCTCATTGGCCACGATCCGGTTCCGGCTCAGTCATTTAGATGGTTTCAGGTCAGCCGGGCTTCTCATTGCACTTGGCAGCACGTTGCCAGGAGTAAAACCGTTCGCTTCCCCCAGATGCGGGTCCCACTTTCCCAGGCCCAGCTTCCTACGCGGGCCAGGGCCCCGCCCTGAGGACAGAGGCTGATATCCTACCCGATGCTCTTCTCTCGGCCTCGGGACCCGGGGTGCTGGGGGCTCTCTGAGGCCCCAGCGTTGGGGTTCACAATGTTTTATTTCTCATGGGAACCCGACCGCCCTCCACATTTTAACAGAGCGTGAGAGGTTCTACTTTAGAACACGCTCTCCCCCGTTCCCTACAGGGTTTAGCTGCTGGGAGATCGATGGTTTCTCGGGGTGTAGGTTTTAAGGGTGAAGAGGTCACAGGGAAGGTATTTTTGGGGGGTGCAGGGGCTGTGGCTACTGCTTGAAGATAGTGGCCCTTTTCTTTTTTAACAGGAAAAGGCTTATGAATCTCTCGCAACACCCCCTGGCTTTGAACTTGTCAGATGTTCTCTCTTCCATTCTGAAGTTTAAGCGAAGGACTCAGACTTCATCTGAAGCTGTTTTTCGGATGTGACAAAAACAGGCCTTTTTTTCTATTTGGGGCCAAACGGCCGGCCATTTAAATATGTGCATTCTGTTCTAACTGCGCGCGCGTGTGTGTGATTTCTGAACGCTTGGAAAATTATTTTAGGAAAAATGGAAACTCACGGCAGGTTTCGGCCTGAATGAGGCCACTCTCTACGCTTAATGAGAACCTTGATTTTCACGGGAGACACCTAGAAGCTGTGCTGTGTTAGGCGGAAAGGCTGGGTTGTAGACAGACACGGGAGGTTTCATTCGAGCTATACCTCGGGGTGAGCTATACCTCGGGTGCCTGCCGCCGAGTTTCCCAGGGGTTGGGTCCCATCAGCGTGTTTCTTTGGCTGCAAAGTCTCTCTCTAAACCGCTCTCCGGTGGGACAGGCGGCCCTACCTCCCAGTAATTCATTCTGCTCCCCCCCGGCCCCCACCTGCCTTTTAATTGAAACAACATTTCTATTTCTGGCCAGGATCTGTCAGAAGTCCCCCTGGCTGGTCTGTGGGACCAGTAGCCTCCCCATATGGCGCGGGCGCTTCTTGTAAAATCCATATGGCCTTGTTGAGGGCACCGCAGCGGGGATGTGAAGGGTGTTAATACCCTTCAGGCCAGACCTCTCTGCCGCCTGGGGCCCCGGGCCATTGTCCCTGCAATCTGCCGTCACACACCCCTCCTTCCTTCTTAATAATCAATTAGGTCCTCGCCCAACCTGGGCCCGTTCTGCTTAAGAAATGAACCCTTTTATTTTATCCCCCCAACTCCCCCCCCCCCATGTCTCAGAAAAGGTTTAACTGCGTCTTTATACACATCCTAAAGCTTTTTTGTGTGTGTTTGTTTTTCCGATTTGCGCTCCGCAGGAAGTCCTGAAGAGCGTGCCCAAGTTCTGTTTCCCCCTTCGGACGTCGAAAGGTACGTCTGAGCCATCGCTGAAGTCCCTTTACCCGTCTCAGCGAGGACTTAGCCCCGATGGCTTTAAAAAAAAAAATCCAGTAAAATGTCCGTTCTCTGTATCGCCCCCAACAACAGCAACAGACGGTTGGCTCAACATAAAGTGGTCCCTGGAAGGAGAAGGGCTTCCAATCCCTGAGACCTTTCTTTCCCCCCCCCCCCCCGCCCCCCGGTGGCCGGTTAGGGCACCTCTGAGGGTCCCATTTCTCCCTTTTGTGCCTCAGGAGCACGGTCTTAATCAGGCCTTATCAGAGCCTTAGAAGGGCGTCTTTTTAAAAATAATATATATTTTATTGATTTTTTACAGAGAGGAAGGGAGAGGGATAGAGAGTTAGAAACATCGATAAGAGAGAAACATCGACCAGCTGCCTCCTGCACACTCCCCGCTGGGGATGTGCCTGCAACCCAGGTACATGCCCTTGACCGGAATCGAACCTGGGACCCTCCAGTCCACAGGCCGACGCTCTATCCACTGAGCCAAACCGGTTTCGGCGTTAGAAGGGCGTCTTTTAAAATGAGATGGACACGTCCTGTTTCTCCCCCCGTGATTGAAAGGGCCATCGGTGTGAGGCTGTGAACCTGGCCGCGAGTTGTCCCCTCTGAGAAGAGCTTTATAGAAACAGGGCCCTGTCCACGGATGCCACAGGGCAGCTCTCCGGGCGCGTTGGAAAGTCTCACGCCGCGTGTACTGTGCTGGATACACCCCTGGGTGCCGTGGGGAGGTCGGGAGCAACAAATAGCAGATCATTGATTTGTTTTTTCATGGGGGGGTTTCACCACCCCTATTTATCAGTGGTGTGTTTTTTTTTGTTTTGTTTGTTTTGGGTTTTTTTTAAGGAACCTGCGTAGGAGGGGGATTCTAAACGAAAATATATTTTAGGAAAATATTTCGCTCAGGATGAGTAAAAACCCTAAACTTTTACTAATATATATATATATATATATATATATATATATATATTTTTTTTTTTTTTTTAAATATGTTTTTATTGATGTCAGAGAGCAGAAAGGAGAGGCAGAGAGAGAGAGAAACATCCATGATGAGAGAGAATCAGGGATCGGCTGCCTCCTGCGCACCCCGCACTGGGGATGGAGCCCACAACCCGGGCCTGTGCCCTGACCAGGAATCGAACCCGACCTCCTGGTTCCTAGGTCGACGCTCAACCCCTGAGCCACACCGGCCGGGCCTTTTACAATACTGAAGACACGATTTGGAAAGATGGGCTAAGGCAGGGGTCCTCAAACTTTTTAAACAGGGGGCCAGTTCACTGTCCCTCAGACCGTTGGAGGGCCGGACTATAGTTTAAAAAAAAACTATGAACAAATTCCTATGCACACTGCACATATCTTATTTTGAAGTAAAAAAACAAAACGGGAACAAATACAATATTTGTATTTGCGTGTGGCCCGCGGACCGTAGTTGGAGGACCCCTGGGCTAAGGGATGCTAATAGTCGATGCTGTGTCACCTCCTTTCGGGGGAACTAATGTACCTGCCAACGGCACCGACGGCACAGTTTTCACACGAATCTCGAGGTCACGATCGAGGAAGAGGAGCTAGGAGGGGTGCTGTGAGCCTTGGGCGCTTCTCCAGGTGTGAACATTATTAAAAGCCGCCCACGTACACGTGTCCTGATGCCTCCCTGGGAAGGGATTAGCACGTGCAGGGTTGCTTGGCGTGGAAGGTGTCACCGCCGACTTGGATAGTTGGCGCATGACTTAGTTCAGGCTCACGCGTTTGACACTCATTTTGGTCCTGGCACGTGGTTCTGGCTCGAAGAACCAACTCATAGAACAGGAGAAGCCAATGCCACACACCTATGCTCTTGCCCTTGCTTTTCTTTTTTCTTTCTTTTTTTAAAATATATTTTATTGGTTTTTTACAGAGAGGAAGGGAGAGGGATAGAGAGTTAGAAACATCAATGAGAGAGAAACATCGATCAGCTGCCTCCTGCACACTCCCTACTGGGGATGTGCCCGAAACCAAGGTACATGCCCTTGACCAGAATCGAACCTGGGACCCTTCAGTCTGCAGGCCGACGCTCTATCCACTGAGCCACACCAGCCAGGGCATGCCCTTGCTTTTCTATGTGACCGTTCTTGCCCAAGGCTGAGTTGCGGGCTGTCCTGTGTTCCAGGGTGTCTCAGAATCAGGTCGGGCAGCACTTCGCCTTCGTGCTGACGGACATCGAAAGCAAGCAGAGATTTGGCTTCTGCAGGCTCACACTCCGGCGGCAGGATCTGCTTATGCATCCTCAGGTGA